TGTGTTAGAGTTTTGGTTAGAGTTGTGTTAGAGTGGTGTGTTAGAGTTTGTGTTAGGTGTGTGTTAGGAGTTTGTGTGTTCGAGTGGGTGTGTTAGAGTTTGTGTTAGAGTTTTGTGTTCGAGTCGTGTGTTAGAGTTTGTGTTAGAGTGTCGTGTTAGCGTTTGTGTACTAGAGTGTGTGTTAGAGTATGTGTTAGAGTGTGTGTTAGGTTTTGTGTTAGAAGTGTGTGTTAGAGTTTGTGTTGAGTGTGTGTTTGAGTGTGTGTTAGAATGTGTGTTAGAGTTTGTGTTAGAGTGTGTGTTACGAGTGTGGGTTAGAGTGTGTGTTAGAGTTTGGGTTAGAGTTTTGTGTTAGAGTTTGTGATAGAGTTTTGTGTGTAGAGTGTGTGTTAGAGTTTGTGTTAGAGTTTGTGTTAGAGTGGGTGTTAGAGTTTGTGTTAGAGTTTGTGTTAGAGTTTGTGTTAGAGTGTGTGTTAGTTAGTGTTAGAGGATGTTAGAGTGTGTGTTAGAAGTGTGTTAGAGTTTGTGTTAGAGTTTGTGTTAGGAGTGTGGGTTAGAGTTTGTTGTTAGAGTGGTGTTTAGAGTTTGTGTCATAGAGTGTGTGTTAGAGTTTGTGTTAGAGTGTGTGTTAGGAGTTGTTTTAGATTTGTGTTAGAAGTGTGGTAGAGTTTGTGTTAGAGTTTTGTGTTAGAGTTTGTGTTAGGTGTGTGTTTGTTTGTGTTAGGTTTGTTAGAGTGTGGTTAGAATGTGTGGTAGAGTTTGTGTAGAGTTTGTGTTTGGTGTGTGTTAGAGTTTGTGTTAGAGTTGTGTTAGAGTGTGTGTTAGATTGGTGTGTTAGAGTTTGTGTTTGAGGGTGTGAGTTAGAGTTTGGGTTAGAGTTCTTGTGTTAGAAGTGTGTGTTAGAGTTTGTGTTAGAGGTGTGTGTTAGGGTTTGTGTTAGAGTGTGTGTTAGAGTGTGGTTAGAGTGTGTGTTCGGTTTGTGTTAGAGTGTGTGTTAGAGTTTGTGTTAGAGTGTGTGGTAGAGTTTGTGTTAGAGTGTGTGTTAGAGTTTGTGTTAGTGTTTGTGTTAGAGTGTGTGTTAGAGTTTGTGTTGAGTGTGTGTTAGAGTGTGTGTTAGAGTGTGTGTTAGAGTTTGTGTTAGAGTTTGTGATAGAGTGTGTGTTGTTTGTGTTAGAGTGTGGGTTCGAGTTTGTGTTAGAGTTGTGTTAGAGTTTGTGTTATGTGTTGTGTTCAGAGTGTGTGTTTGAGTTTTGTGTTAGAAGTGTGTGTTAGAGTTTGTGTTAGAGTGTAGTGTTAGTGTTTGTGTTAGAGTGTGTGTTAGAGTTTGTGTTAGAGTGTGGTTAGAGTTTTGTGTTAGAGTGTGGTTAGAGTGTGTGTTGTTTGTGTGTTAGAGTTTGTGTTAAGAGTGTGTGTTAGAGTGTGTGTTAAGTGTGTGTTAGGTTTGTGTTAGAGTTTTGTTAGAGTTTTGTGTTAGTGTTTGTGTTAGAGTTTGTGTTTGTGTGTGTGTTAGGTTTGTGGTTAGAGTTTGTGTTAGAGTGTGTGTTAGAGTGTGGTTAGTTTGTGTTAGAGTGTGTGTTAGAAAGTGTGTTAGAGTTTGTGTTAGTTTGTGTTAGAGGTGTGTGTTGAGTTTGTGTTAGAGGTTGTGTTAGAGTTTGTGTTAGAGTGTGTGTTAGTGTTTGTGTGAGAGTGTGTGTTAGAGTGTTTTGGGCTTAACGGGGGTGGTTAGAGTTTGTGTTAGAGTTTTGTGTTAGAGTGTGTGTTAGATGTTTGGTTAGTAGTGTGTGTTAGAGTTTGTGTTAGAGTGTGTGTTAGAGTTTGTGTTAGAGTGTGTGTTAGAGTTTGTGTTAGGAGTGGTGTGTTAGAGTTTGTGTTGAGTTGCGGTTAGAAGGGTGTGTTAGAGTTTGTGTTAGAGTGTGTGTTAGCGTGTGAGTTAGAGTGTGTGTTAGAGTTTGTGTTAGAGTTTTTGGTAGAGTGTGTGTTAGAAGGGTTTGTGGTTGTTAGAGTGTGTGTTAGAGTTTGTGTTAGAGTGGTGTGTTATGAGTTTGTGTTAGCGTTTGTGTTAGAGTGTGTGTTAGAGTTTGTGTTAGGTGTGTGTTAGAGTTTGTGTTAGTGTGTGTGTTAGGAGTGGGGGGGAGTTGTGTAGCGTGTGGTTAAAGTTGTGTTAGAGTGTGTGTTAGAGTGTGTGTTAGAGTTTGAGTTAGAGTTTTGTGTGGATGATGAGAGGCGTCAGTATGTGCAGCTGGTTTGGGAGTTAACCAAACAAGTGGTGTTTGAAACGTGGAGGCGTCACCGAAGATGTTCAAGAAGTGACAACAGTTTGTTTTGGAAAGTTTACTCACATTTATTGTTTGGAGATTTCTCATGAGCCCCATTTCCAAGCCCTACTCTACTTACTGCGACCTACTCTACTCTTACTTACTCTACTTTCTCTACTCACTCTCTACCTCCACTCTAGGAACATGTTGTCCTTGAGGGGTATTCAGATTGAGTCGTCAGTGTGTGATTTAAATCTAAAATCTGCTCAAGGCAATTTATTTTGTCTAATACTTCCAGAGTAACCGTATGGAGCTGACCCGGTTCACAGCCCACGGCAAATATGAATTAAAATGTTGGTATTGTGGTGGGCCACAGTCCCTCCTGTGGGGCCCACCACATTACCAAATTTTTATTTTCATTTTGCCGAGGGTGATGAAAGGGGTCAGCTCCAGCGGTTATCTGGAAGCTTTTTGACAAATAAATTGCCGTTGAGCATATTTTTGATTATAGTCACATTGACGACTGTCAATCTGATACCCCGCAAGGAAGCAACATGTTCGAGTGGGAAAGAGTAGAGAGGTGAGTAGAGTGATGAGTAGAGTAGTGTAGAGTGAGTGTAGGGCTAGGAGGTAGTGGAGAGTTGGGGCTGAGTGGAAAGGGGGCTGGAGAAAAGCTCCAAAATATAAAGGTTGAGGTTATTCTGGTCAATACAACGTTTGGACGTATTGAACTGTCGGGCGGTGACGCCGTCCATGCGTTTCAATAACAACCACGGGGGTTGGGGTGCCATAAACGCTAGCGGCACTTGCGGTACGCCGAGCAGCATACACATCAAACGCGATCATACAATAACGCGTCATCTTTCGCGTTACTCTATCGCGATATCTATCGCTTACTCATCTCGCGATCTCTATCGCGATTCTCTATCGGGCGTTCTCTTCGCGTACTCTCACGCGATCACATTCGAGTATTACCTCATCGCGTACAACTGTGCGATTCACATCTCTCTAACTCTTCTCTGGATCAAAACGGTTTCGATACTCATAAGCGTTATCTTTCGCGTTCCACACACGCGTAACTCTTACGCGAACTTCAAATCGCGAATCATTCTCTACGCGTTCTATCCAGCGATTCTATCAAGCGTTATCATTCGCGTTCTCACTCTGCGTTCATCCACATTTGTAATCACATTTAGAGTAAACTCTTCGCGATCTACTATTCGCGATCACATCTCGCTTTCTCACTAAGCGTTCATAAACGGCGAACTCAATCGCGATAACACTACGTCGAACTCATATGCGTATCATCTAACGCGATTACTACTATACGAGTACTCTTACGCGTTCACTCTCGCGAACTCCCGACAGCGTACACTATCAGAGTATCTCACGCACGATCTATTTCTCGTACACTATACGCGTTCTCAATTACGAGGTTACACTCGCGATTCTCTATTATCGAACTCTATCGCGATTCACTCTGGGCGTTCTCACCTCGCGTTCATTCATATCGATATCATCACTCGCGTACATCTCACGCGTTCTAATAAGCTATTCACTATTCGCGATCTCTTCTCGCGAACACTTAAACGCTTGACTCATACGCGTTAAATCTTTCGCAGTCACATAACGTATAACACCATAACGCGTATCACACACGCTTACACTCGTCGAACTACTCATACGCGTTCACTTATCGCGTTCTCATCAGACGTATCTCTCACGCGTTACAATCTCGCGCTACTACAAAATATTCGCGTATATCTAACACTCGATCTCCTATTCGATATCTTCTCGCGTTCTCTAATCACGAATCACACATCGCGATCACTATATACGCGTAACACACTCTCGATACATCAAAACGCTAACAACACGCGTTCTCATTTCGCGATACTATCGCGTCAAACTCGCGTACATCAAACGCGTCCTCACACGCGGAACTATCAACTAAATCTACACGATATCTCAATAGCGATAAAACTATTCGCGATAACATACTACGCGAACACATAACGGTTCACTCTCTCTGTAACAAACTCGAACACACCATGAACAATAACGCTTATCATCAAAGCTAACACACACGCTAACTACAAACTCGAACACAACTCTTTAACACAATCTACTAAACACACACCCTTAACACAAACTCTAACACCCACTCTAACACCACACTCTACACACCCTCTCACAAACTCTACACCACCACCTTACACACAAACTCTAACACACACTCTAACACAAACTCTAACCCACCCTCTCAACACACTCTAAACACCCCACTCACACACCACCCTTAACACACACTCTAACACAATTAAACAAACTCTAACACACACTCTAACACAAATTAACACAAACCTCTCAAACACACATTCACCACCCCTTTCTACAAACCAAACTCTAACACAAATAACCACACACTCTAAACCACAAAACTCAAACACCAAACTCTTAACCCAAAACTCTAACACACACTCTAACACACAACTCTAACACAAACTCTAACACACACTCTAACACAAACTCTACCACCCACACTCCCCCCAACCATAAACCACCCACATACCCCCCCCCCCACTACTACACCACCACCCCATTACCCCACCACCCCTCTAACCACCACCCTCTAAACACACATATTACTCACACACACACTCTAACCACCTCTACACAAACTACCCCCCACTCTAACACCAACCTCTCACACAAACTCTCACCACACCACCACTAACACCCACTCTAAACACCACCTCTAACCCCCCCCCCCTCATTCCCCCCCCACTCTACCCCACACTCTCCCCCCCACCCACACCCCCCCCACTCACACCAATCTACCCCACCACCCTCCAACACCACACTCACCACACCCCTCACCCCCCCACCCCCTTCCCCACCCACATTCTCAACACACACTTAACCACCACATCTACCCCAACCACTCTAAACCCACCACTAACACAAACTCTAACACACCCACTAACCCCACACCCTGCACCCCCCCCCCTCTAACACAACACTCTAACACACACTCTCCCAACCAACCTCTAACCCACACTCTAACCAAACTCTAAACCACACCCTCTCACACACCACTCTAAACACCAACTCTAACCCCCACTCTAAACCACACAACACTTAACACACACTCTAACCCCACTCTAACAAAACTCTCAACACACTAACCACACTCTAACCACACACTCTAACCCAAACTCTAACACCACACTCTAACAAACACTCTAACCACAAACCCTCTACACCCCCCCCCCCACCTCTCAACCCCCCACCTCTACAACCACATCTAACACCAAATCTAACACAACTCTAACCCACACTCTAAACCATCTAACCCCACTCAACAACAACTTAAACACTACACTCCTAACACACACTCTAACACAAAACTCTACCCCACAACCTCTAACACAACTCTAACACAAACTCTACACACAACACTCTAAACACATTTACCAAAACTCTTAACACCAACCTCTAACCAAACCTACACACCCCTCTACACCAAACTCTACCCCAAAACTCTAACACAAAAACTCTCCCACCACACTCCTAAACCCCAAACTCTCACCCCCCCCAAACTCTAAACCCACACCTCTACACACACCCACATCCACACAAACTCTAACACAAACCTTAACACAAACTTTAACACAAACTTCTAACACACACTCTAACACAAAACTCTAAAACACACTCCACCCAAAACTCTAACACAAAACTCTACCACACAACTCTAACACAACTCTAACACAAACTCTACACTCACTCTAACCAACTTAACACTCTAACACACACTCTAACACACTCTCTAAACACAAATCTAACACACACTCTAACCACACCACCTCTACACAAAACTCTAACACACACATTCTAACACACACTCTAACACAACTCTAACACACACTCTAAACACCCACACCTCTAAACCACCAAACTTAATACACACTCCTAACCCCAAACTCTGACCACACACTCTACACACCTCTAACACACACTCTAACTCAAACTCTAACACAACTCTAATACACAGTCTAAACACACACTCTAACACACACTCTAACACACACTCTAACACAAAAACTCTAATTCAAACTCTAAACACAAAACTCTAGACACACACTCTACACACAAAACTTAATACACACTTAACAACAAGCTGGACACACACTCTAACACAACTCTAACACAAACTCTGACACACACTCTAACACACACTCTAACACAACTGAACACACACTCTAAACACAAACTTAATAACCAGTCTAACACAGTCTAACACACACTCTACACACACTCTAACACACAACTCTAAACACAAACTCTGCACACGCTCTAAAACACACCCTCTACCCACCACTCTAAACACACTCTAACACAAACTACTATACACAGTTAACACACACTCTAACACACCACTCTAACACACACTCGCACACAAACAGCAGAACTTATAATTAAATCCATCTCACCTAGAACACTTTTCTTCTATCTTCTAATCACGAGTTTTCCTGTGTTTTCGTTTTAAATCAATACAATAAATTGATTATAGCTTTATTTAGGGGCACAATGGAATAACTCCCAGACTGGATAACTGTGCATATGAGTCACAAATATCAATTAATTGGCTCATTTATTGATTAAGTAATCTCCTGAGTCCTTTAATATTTAATTTGTCATTTCTCTTCATTAGATATCTGAAGGTAGTGATTTCTTTTCAAATCGTGACCCATTTCTGGAGTTACAAGTACAAATATCACTTTCAGAAAAGATGGTTTTGTAGATTTAATGATAGTATACACAATACAGACTAGATTATGATAATATGCAAATTGTCAAGAATAACATGAAGGGAAGTGATTTCAAGATACAATTATTAAATGCTAGGCTAACAGTGAGTAAGCCAAGACCTTTGTCTTGAATGGTTTTGGTATAGGCTTGAGGCCGGCATGGTGTTCAGCTTTGGTAAGGAAGTATTCCTTTTGTAGGATAGGTTTTACTAAAGCCAACAGCTTTTTGGTATCAGCGAGAGCCAGATCCTAAAACCCAGAATAAGCTTTGGTGAAATAAGCAGTCCTTGGGTATTGGATGGTGTGGGGATGGAGGCTTCTTGTCACGGTGGCCTGGACCATGCGGCTGATCAGTGGGCTGAACCAAGTCCCCTCCCCACGGATCCCACAGTCTAGGTGCCCAAAAACTCAGAGCGAACTTCTTCATGGTTGAAGCTGGAGGGTATTGAAGGGTTGTGGAAGTCCTCTCAAACGTGGTGTGAGGTTTGAGGCATCTCAGAGGCCCAAAGCCCCTTGGTGCCTGAGCAGAGGACCAGGGAGGTCTGGGCACCTCCGTGGGTTCCCAAAGCAGACTGGGTTTTTTTCCTGTGGGTCCTTGTAAGTCTTCACATCTTGTAGAGTCCCCCCCCCCCCCCCCCCCCCCACCCCCCCCCCCCTTGGGGGAAGGGTGTTTGACATGGCACTTATCTTAAGACATTCTTACCCACAATAAAAACCTGAACCACAAGGATTTAAACAAGTGGAGACAGACGATATAATATGTCTCATTATACAAACTAAATGTCTTTGCTTGAGGAAAGAGGTCATTTTATTTATCTACAACCCCCCCCCTTTGTGTCCAGTCCGCAAACAAAGCGAATGAGGTTGATCACAACATATTTTTGATTATGACCGCTTGACTAACGTTCATGTCCAATTCTTTAGGGGCAGAGCTTCGCAAGTGGCGGCTGGTTGAAATTTTTCTACTGGGGGGGCTATGATATGAGATAGATATTACAGCGGGTAGGGATGCTTTTGATCCTACCCTGAGCTTTCATCCAGCTGGGATGAAAAATATTTATCTTCCCAAACATAGCTAATTGAGGCATTTTGCGCTGTGGTTTTGTGGATACCAGGTCTGCTCATGCTTCCTTTGCCTTTTCTAACCAAAGTGCTTCAGACAAGTCATACCTGTCTTGGATCCATGCTGGGTCAGATTCCTGATGTTTTGTCACAAGAGGCTGGAAAGCAAAATAAAGCAATTAGCCTCGCTCCATGCTGCTAGCCAGATTTGGCGCCTGAACCAGGTCCTGGGGAAAAGTACGAGGGTACCGTCTCTCCCCCTTGTCGCGGGACTGCTGACTAATCGGTAATATTTGGCCTGAATCAGGTCCCACAAGCTCTTTAACCTCAACCTTCTCCTGGTATGATCTGTTCCGCAAACGGTATTGTTTGAGTGATTAACTGCATTATTCTTTTTCTGTTCTCCATTGTGGGTCATCTTTACGTTCGTTTCTCAAACTCCCACAGCTTGACCTGTCAATCACTGTAAGACGGACGTCACACGACAGTGAGTTACAAGGTCTGCGGGCGATCCCGCCCCTCAGGCGCAATTCCTGCGCCCCAAATGTTAATCTTTGCATTTGAAGAGGAGCTACTGCGCATGTCCAACTTTTATCGAGACGTCCATAGACGGCTCAGGGCGCAATCTTTTGCGCCCTGAGCGGGAATGGGAAATACGTCCTCAGTCCGACACAGAAACGTGATGAGCTTAATCAATCCCTACTCGCATAAACTATTAAAGTAGTTCTTCCACATATGAAATAAAACACTCACATAAAATTTCGAAATATTTTAATGTTATTATGTTTTTTTAACTTTTGATCAAGGTAACATGAGCAAGGTTCGTGAGTGGTGGGCGGTTGTTGCCTAGCGGCCCTTCTAGTGGCCGCCGCCCTGCTCTCTGTAGGAGGCGGACGAGTTCTCAGTTATTTCTCCTACAGATATTTATGAACAAAAGTAGAACATGAATTTGCCAATGAGACAAAACAAATGATTTGTTATAAAAATCACTCCACTTCAAGATACTTTTCAGCGTAGCTGGACAATGCTAACCTGCTCGTCAAAGCAGCCCCATATGGAAAGTGCTCATGGAATGAAGTTTGGCTCCAACTCTCTCTGGCTCCTACTGTGTTAAGCCCAATTCGCATAGGATTTAGTATCTCTGGTTAATTAGACATTCTCGAATGCGCCATGTCCTGTAATTTGTAAAGCGGTATAATTCGCTGCAAATTTCCCCCTCCGGTATTTGTCACAGACGCCCCAGTGATATTACTACTCCTGTAAGAATCTGCATTCGTGATTGTGTTGCTATTGACAACGAGGCGTTGTGTGCGTGAATATCTAGTCATTTCAGACATTTTACTTATCAAGGGTGAACGCGCTGCAAGTATCAAGAGGTGGGGCGGTAATTTGACAACGACCACAGGTGTTATACTAATCCCTTCTGCAAATAGGACTTTACATAAAAATCCTCTTTCACTGTAAACATTTGTGTCACAATCAGCCTTTTTTTATGGCTAAGAATCTGTGGTTTTAACGCTCCTGGTGTTGTATAATTTGTCTTGGAAATCCAAATCTGAGCAATATCAGGTATGGCTCTTAAAACTGTGGGGGGAAACTCCAGCTTGCCTTCGACAACCGTTTCTTAGCGACAGTCTGCCAGTGTTTACGGCGCTATGCATTGACGTCGAACCAAATGCCCATATAAGGAAAATAGCTCCAGCTAGCTTATCTTCAAATCGCCCTCCTCCACCTTCGGTTAAAACAAGTCTCCAAACTTGGGTTCGCTGGAACAACCTGCGGCCCATCTAGTGTCTGTTATGTGGTCTTCTTCTTGCTAACTAGCATTAGATAAAAAACTTCACAGTGTCTCCAGCCAACTTCAGCTAAGACTTATCAGAGTTTTTTTTAAAGGGGACATTTCTGGTGAACTACAGAGGACCTCTTAATTAACAGTTGTTCATCGCGGGGCGGACACTGATGGTGATGTTCCCACACGCTTCTGTCATTGTTGTACATGAGAATTACCTGCATGTTAGAATAGTATGTGTGAGGTTTTAGGCATTTTTTAACACACTTTTTTATTCCACAATTCACTCAATAAATTGTGGTGTGTTTGAGAAGGCCTACAGACTGAGTGCTGACCTGTTTTATTTTAATTATTCACCTTATCATCCAGGTTGAAAAGTGCTTGAAAACAGTTTTGTTGTTGTATGTTCATGACTATCGTGAGAGAAATATGTGGTGATTAAAAAGTAAGAGGCCGAGGAATGTGTGAGGACTCGATACAAGGTGAACCAGAGCAAAAAATGTTATAGTAAAATAATAATAATGAATAAACATTATTTAGGTCCCCGCCGAAGACCTAGGACACGCTGGAGAGGGGGTACTATGTCTCTCAAGCTGGCCTGGGAACGCCCTTGGGGTCCCCCGGATGAGCTGGAGGAAGTGTGTGTGAATAGGGAAGTATGGGGGCTCTGCTTCTAGACTGTTGCCCCCCGCGACCGGGAAACGGATTAAAGCGGAAGAAAATGGATGGATGGAAAGGGATGGCCATTTTATTTATATAGCACTTTTACATTTGAACCAAATCTCAAAGTTGTACAAACTGCAGCCTAAATAAAAGCAAACACCTAAAATCAGATAAAAGACCACACCAAAACAAATTCGCAGTACGCTTTAGTTAAAAGATGGCGTTTTGAGTCCCTTTTTAAAAAGTTCCACCGTCTGTGGGGCCTGAGGTGGTCCGGGCGGGCGTTCCCCAGAACGGGGAGGCAGA